AGACACCCAGGCAGTCAGACAGGAAGACAGCCAGAGTAGCGGTAGGTGCGATGAGGTGTCAAGGGGTAGTAGATGGCGTGTGTGGGGGTGGGGTAGGTGGAGTGTGTGGAGGTGGGGTAGGTGGCGTGTGTGGGTCGGGTCTGGAGATGGCGTATGTGTGGGTGGCGCAGGTTATGGTGTGTGTTAGGGGTGGATGAGGTAGGAGGTGGCGGGTGGTATGTGGTGTGTAGGGGTGTGGGGTGTGGGGGGTGGGTATGTGAGGGGTGGTGGTGTGTGAGGGTGGTGGTGTGTGAGGGTGGTGGTGTGTGAGGGTGGTGAGTTGAGGGTGGTGATGGTGTGGTGGTGTGTGAGGGTGGTGTGTGGTCGATGAGGGGTGGGTGGTGTGTGAGGGTGGCGGTGAGTGAGGGTGGTGGTGAGTGAGGGTGGTGGTGTGTGAGGGTGGCGGTGAGTGAGGGTGGTGGTGAGTGAGGGTGGTGGTGAGTGAGGGTGGTGGTGAGTGGGTAATGTTACTATGAATCATCACTGAGTGTTAAGGTGAGGGCGACAGAGTCTTATCTACTCTTGCACAGGTAGCAACATTTACTGTAGTTAAGACGCGCAACTTATTGCACACTTGGCGTTCTCCTCTTCACATCATTATCATCATCATCAAAGACAGTCATCACACTATCACATGGATCTTCACTTTATTAAATTTTCGGCTGAGGACATTGTTATTAGCATAACATTAGAAAGGACAGCCCCATCTTCAACAGGCGCATCGTAATGTTCATCAAGGACGTCGTAATGTTCATCAAGGGCGTCGTGATCTTATCAAGTGCTTCCTGATCTTCATCAGGAGCGTCCTGATAGTCATTAAATATGTTCTGATCATGATACCATCAGGGGATCGTGGTGTCTGTGACACTTCCTCACAGCTCGCGTGCAGACACACTCACGACCTCCTTCCACTCTCACTGTCAATACTTTTTCTTTCTAGAAGAGTGCACAGGAAAGCCATAGTTGCTTACTAATGTCTAGCAGTTTCATCAGCCACAAAAGAAAAAAGAAAACATTAGCTATCGTTTAAAGAAAACTGTCTGAAGAAATCCGTCCTGAGGAAAATATTCCTGAAGGTATTGTTTTGATAAAAACTCTACATGAGGCAGCAACAGCGTCTCCAGAAGTTATATATAGGAGGGCGCTTAGGTGTGGCAACATAGTAGGAAAAAAGGCCAGGGAACTTGTCTTGAAAAGGCGTTTTATTTATTTATTTTTTATATTTGGGGGTGAGAGGGGCTGACGGAATCTTGGGAAGTGAAGTTCACCCACTAACTGCCCTTTTGTCGCCGCTTCTGTGAAGCAAGGGAGGAGCCGGAGTAATTAGTATGTCCTGTCAATATATTGATCCAGGATTGTGGTTCAAAATAATTTTCGACGTAAAGATGGCAAGTGATTAAAATTTGCTTTAACATAACACACAAAAATGTTTTAATATGACTGTACTTGACAGAATTGCAAGTGGCGCGTACCAAAGTGGAAATAAGACTAGATATAAGAGGACTGAACCTCCAAGAACCTTCTTTATGAGAGCTGCAGCTGAAACCTGGAGACTCAGATATGATGATGAAATCAAATTCATCAGCATAGGAGTGGATAGCACGGAAGGTCGTTAATGAGTAAAAATTGATGTCATGGCCTCTGAAATAATTTGTAAATATCGAGAGCTATGACGAGGGGATAATTATATTTTTTAAAGAGGGTCGGTAAGCCAGTGGAAGGCCTCGGTCAAATGACAAAAGCTCCAGGAACCATTTGTCCTGTTTCCTTACGAATCTTACCTAACCTAACCTGTGACGAGGAGTCGCCGTACTGTGACAGAGAGGGTGAACAGATGACCGAGTTCAGAGACCATAATAAGAACATTCCATTCTCACTTCGAGACCGTTCTAATGATCAGTGTTCAAGGTTCTTAAGAAACTTTTCATTAAGACAACATTCAATAGTTTTCGAAATAGCAGAAGTGAGAGCAGTGAGATGACGGAACGTTCTGAGTGGTCACCTTTATTCAGTAGAGGTGGAGCGAGCGCATGGTTTTAAGAGAGGAAAAAGTTTAAAGGATAGCATCAGAACCAGCAATATTGTAGTAGGGTCGCGGCGCGCCAGAACCCCCCGGGGCAGGTCGAAGTACTTCCATGTTGCTGTTGTATGAGCGACGCTTTCTCAGTTGTCTGGGAGACTGCGCTGAGTGATGGGCTTACCTTCCATGTGGGCTGCCCTTCCGTGTGGACTGCCCTTCCGTGTGGGCTGCCATCTAGAGTTATTGCAACACGGATAAACTAGAAATTAATGCGAAGGTCCTGCTGATCATCAAATAAATCGATTTTTCCATTTACTACACTGAAACTACGAGTTTGGAACGGTTTATGACGAGGTGGAACTGTGTCAAGTACTTAGACAGTGGAGTAATTCAAGTGAAAAATAAAACTACGGACGCTGATGTCTTCCACTGGTTATACAAGCCACAATACTGAAGTTGGAAAACTCAGCAAATTAATATCGATTTGATACTAGTCCATAACCAACTGAAATGTCTTGTTTCGTCTTTAGTTGATGGATAAGTAGTGAACGATTATATAAATACAGAAATCACATGATGCCCTTGTCTGTAAATCGACCGGTAGAGTTAAGTAAAGCTGAAGAATTTCCTGCCCTTCAGAAAGCAGTTATGATGAATCCTGGTGTTGATTAGAGACGAGATAGCGGTGGTGGGAAGATGAATAAACTAATGTTATGTTGATGAAGAAGCGCTGGACGAGACGCACGAGGAGGTGGAGTTGTTGATGTTGATGAGGCGGCTCCTCCTCCCCCTCTACCACAGCCTCCCAGCGCTTAGGGTGATGTGCCAGTTTCCGACGGACGAGTGGAAGGGTTGAGCTACTTACCGCCTTGAGCAGATTGGCTAGTTAGTAGTGGACTCTCTGTAGTAGGTACTGTCTCTTAACGGCACTGCATCTTGGCTTGCCAGAGAGATGGCTGGTCACCAGGTCATCCAGAAGCCGCAGTCGTGGAGTTAACGTCAACTGTTACTACCCACGACTCCAGTCTGCGTGAAGTTGCGGCCACATAACGTAAAGACATGGTGCGGAGTTACATTTCTTTCGTTGAAAGTGTGTGTAGCTGATAGATGGGAAAGATGGGACGATCGAAGAAGGAAATACGGGAGAACATTGAACCAACTCCGTGTAACTTAAACTCTTTGTGATAGATTAACTTTGGTGATACTTAATATTTCGGGATTGAATTAAGCAAATTAGAAATAGATTTATAAATAGGTGAACCGACATTAATTATAGCCATTTAAAATGTGAAGTACTGACATATATACACTGAGAGATGTAGGTCTGTCAGTGTATATATACTGAAAAATGTAGGTCCCTCAGTGTATATACACTGAGAGTTTACTTTAATCCCTATTTTGGGGATTAAAGTATAGTAATCTTCTTTTGTGGGGAACAATTTCATGCAGCCTTAATGATCTTACTTTAGTACATAAACTTCAATCCCACCGATCAGAAACAACCAATTGTCGTCCCTGCCCAGTCCTTCTCAACAGGCTAAAAGTCATAAAGCTAAGTTGTGCTATCGTGCACGATAGCTCAGCAGCTAGGGTTCTGCTTGATCACTCAGGAAAATGACACTCTGTGACTCTTGATTCATTATTCCCCGAGTGATATGGTGGGGAAAATACCAATAAATAACGAATTGAAGCCGTTTGGACCAAATTTACAATTCTTTTACAAGCACAGATTTGTGCTGAATTGGGTATATGTAAATAGGAAAATGTGCCAAAGGTTTAAGTATACTAACACCACCGGCGTTAAAGGGGATATATTTGTTCTGGAAAGCTGTAAGAGTCAAGAGACGACTCTTTTTTTAATGTTACTCTTTTTTGTTGTTGAGAAAACCAATTAGAAAATAACCTACAATAGCGAGTCTTTGCAGTATTGTATATTTTCTCAAAACTGTTTCAAGTTAGTATTTAGATATGTTTAAAAATTAGTATCGCCGGGCTGCCATACGCATTATTTTGACTCACTGACGCACTTTGTGACAGTTTATAAGAGTGGATATAAACTTCCTCAGTGTCATGCAAAGTGTTGCCAGCAGCATCACTATGCAAGATGAGGCTGTTTGTCTTGATATAGAGGAGAGAGAGTCTTGATATAGAGGAGAGAGAGTCTTGATATAGAGGAGAGAGAGGCTTAATAAGTGGTGCAATCTATTTATGTGATATCTTCGTTATTATTATTGTTATTATTATTATTAATATACGGAAATGCTTATCCATGTCATGTGATTCAGTGCTTGGAGAACGATAGGTAACCAGGTTTGAGTCAAGTAAGGGTTAGGTAGTTTCAATTCCTTGAATTAAGAGCCCTTCCTTGGTATCGGGACCCCCCTTCCCTTCATTGAAGGTTATCATCTCTTTGAACCCCTGTGAACCTCTGGTTACTGAAGGACAGGAGAAGCGGTCTGTGGAGGTATGGACTGACCTCTCCTACCTGCCATGGGAGGTGTGCTGGAGGTCGTAACCTCACACGAGGTTGGCTGTAACCGCGTTTTTTTAAGATGTGCTTAAAATGTGGTTACATTTGGAGGCGGTAACTCGGTGCTGGGCCGTCATCAAGTCGCTGTTTACGAACGATCCAGCATGAACGAACATGCTTCAGTTTTCACTGTCACTTTGTGGATCAGTAGCGAATTGTTACAGTCGCTCTATTGTCACTCTTATGCTCCTGTATACATGCGCATTGATGTTCAGTTACTGATATAGGTTTATGTGATGCGGATGTGATGTTAAGTAAATGATAATGTTTGAGTTACTGATAGATATTAGTTGAATACGTTGATTTCTGATTTATGTATGTGTGTTCATTATAGTGTATTACGTTGAGTGATGTATGTATACATTATTGATGTATGATGTTGAGTTATTGATGTATGTGTTGCATCAACAGAAGGTGGAGAGGAACGACCTGGTTGACAGTAAGGGACCTCGCAAGCTCCCTGCTCCCCCTCGCCAAAGACTCAAAGCTCACTCTCGCGACACCTCGCCCGCGCCCGCCTACACGCCTACCGCGCCCACCCACCTCCCGCCTCCGAGACTCACCAGCACGCCGCCCAAACCCCCGCCCACGCCGCCCAAGTCACCGTCACCTCCGCCCATCAAAGCGCCCACCGCCCCTCTGCCCGATCTAAGACCACCACACCAGCAGGTCATTACGCCACGCCCACCGCCCTCGCCAGGGCGTGCACACCTGCCCGCGCCGCCCTCACCAGCGCCCTACACCACACCGCCCTCTCACTCACCTTATTACTCGTACGACGAGCGTGCACTACCAGCCCTCAAACAGTAAGTTCCAGTCTAGTTTTCTCAAGTTATCCAGAAAAAAAATATTTTCTTTACCTCTCCGTTTTCTTTGGTTCTGCACTCACCCATTTTTTTGTTCTCGGGTTTTGAGATTCAGCTCCTGACCCCACCTCCTTGTTAACGTTGAGCAGCAACGTTGATTTCCGGCCTCATGAACCTTAGCATCAGAAACTACTGCAAATTTATTTAAGTATATTCTGTATAATTTTGTATAAGATTGATTAGTGCTAGGTTTAAAGGCTATTGACTGTATGTGGATTATCGACGCTCAAAAAATTATCTAAACTTTATCTAAATTAAAGACTAAGAGAAAGTATTAATGAAATTTGTAATGATAGGTACACACACACCTGTCATCACATACACACTTAGAGAACAACAAGGAATAATACCATGACTGGAACAATACACAAATAATACCATGACTGGAAGATCGACACCATGCCCAGCCCTTCTAGGGTAGGGTAGGTGCCTGAGCCGGAGCCTTTAGCTCATAACACTGTCATTCCCAGTTGCCCCCATGGGGCGGGCATGGCAGACCAGAGAGGCCTAGCTTGTGGCTAGGCCTGGGGACAGTTGGTCCCACAGATGAGGAGGTCCTTGTGCCTCCTCCCATGGGAGACTTAGGTCTCAGACACTCCCTAAAGAGGGAGCCAAGGCCGGGCCACCACTTGGAAAAGGCCCGGGCCGGGAGAATACCGGCTAATATTTAATAATAATAATAAATAAATAACATGACTGGAACAATACACAAATAACCCGCACATAGGAAAGAGAAACTTATGACTACGTTTCGGCCTAAACCGGACCGAAACGTCGTCAAAAGCGTCTTTCTCTTTGGTGAGGGTTATTTCTCTGAATGATACACAGTTCTTAGTGTATATACACAGAACACACACCTCTCCGTGTACGTGCAGCAAGTTGTGTGTGTGTTGAGAGGCAACTCTCAGTGTACTTACACTGAGAGTTTCCTTGGATTGTTTATATACAGAGACCCTCCTCTCTGTGTCTCAGCATATACTGTATACGCCGAGACTTGCACACCAGCGGGGCCAGGAGCTTGGACTCGACCCCTGCAACCTCAACTAGGTGAGCACACACACACACACACACACACACACACACACACACACACACACACACACACACACACACACACACACACACACACACACACGCACACCATCAGCAATAAAACCTCCATGTAACTACATAAGTATATTATTCTCATAATAAAAATAATACATATTCCCCCCATGTATGAGGGAGGTGCTGGCATGTGTTTTAATCTTAATATTTATACCATTTAAAATTTCTTTATAGGGGTTTGAATAGCTGTTGTTTTTAATTACCTTCTAGCTATGTCATGGTTAATATTTTTCTAGTTGATTAATACTCAAATTTAGTGAGTATTTTATATTTTGTGTATTAATTTTTTTAGTAGTTTATGTGGGTCATTAAGGTTATAATCACCTGTGTATTAACATCCCAGGCACTTTAAGCCATCATGGAGGGATAAAGATTAACTTTCTGTGCGTATATAGTGAGAGGAAAACACGTCTTTCTGTGTACACTGATAGAGAAACAGTCTATCAGTGAGTGACAGACACCTCTCGGTGTATATGCTCTGTTCTAACAGGCATAAACAAGTCGGTGTACATACCATGAGATGCAAAATTCTGTCCTGTACGTACTCTGGTAGACACACTCCGCTCGCTATGTACATTCTAATAAACAAAACACACACTTCCAGTTTTATGTACCTTGTGTATATTTATGATAGTGTATGTGGTATCATAAGGATATCAAAGTGTAATTAAATATTATTGATGATATTGATGTGCTGCCTTGTTTTCTCCCTGATTTACATTTCTTTTCTTTATAATTGTTTTCTCCAGTATATTATTTCCCCTGTATGATATGTTTTCCTGTATGATATGTTTTCCTGTATGATATGTTTTCCTGTATGATATGTTTTCCTGTATGATATGTTTTCCTGTACGATATTTTCATGGGTGTTCAGCATTTTGCAAACAGCGTTTTATAACGATGTTTTTGTACATACTAATACTAGTGAATGTAAGTTACGGGTGTAGATAAGGCGATAAAAGTGTGCTATACCATCATGTACTAGGTTGTACCTGGTTGTACCAGGTGTGTGCAACACGTTGATCCATCATACTCGCTGATCTGCGCCTCCTGTCATGATAAATAACAGTAGAGTTTAACGTATATGTTTAAGCAAAGAAATTAATTAATTGAAAAGGAGCGGGTTTGAGATCAGATGTAAACTGTCCAGAAGAATTTGAATTTATAAATATATGAAGTTAAATGTTAATGTTTTATTCACTGCACAATAAAGTTTTTGAAACCTGAGTAGTAATCATGTTAAATTTTTATTAGTATATTTTTTTTAGTCAAAATATTTTTTTAATTAACACAAATTTTTGAGTATATATGAATATTTTTTTTCGTGGTAAAGTATGTCAGAAAAAAAGTAATGAGGGCAATAAGATCAACTTTAATTTATAGTAATACTCTTCCTTTATTACTACTAATGCTACTTTTTCTAAATACTAACTTGTACTACTAATAGTACAACTACTTCTAGTACTGCTGGTACTACTACTACTACTACTACTACTACTACTACTACTATCACTAATTACTCAGTCATTTGTATGTTTTAACGACATTACTTGGTTAGCATATCCACTTCCTAAATACTTTTGGAATCTCTTCACTCCTACTTTCTCTTGTCTATTTAGTTGTAGCTACAGTTAGAGTAAGAGGTAGATGGGAAAAGAGGAAACTGGCAACAACAAGTAAGAGGGAGGTGAAAGTGTATAAACTAAGGGAAGAGGAAGTTCGGGTGAGATATAAGCGACTATTGGCAGAAAGGTGGGCTAGTGCAAAGATGAGTAGTGGGGGGTTGAAGAGGGTTGGAATAGTTTTAAAAATGCAGTATTAGAATGTGGGGCAGAAGTTTGTGGTTATAGGAGGGTGGGGGCAGGAGTAAAGAGGAGTGATTGGTGGAATGATGAAGTAAAGGGTGTGATAAAAGAGAAAAGGTTAGCTTATGAGAGGTTTTTACAAAGCAGAAGTATTGTAAGAAGAGTAGAGTATATGGAGAGCAAAAGAAAGGTAAAGAGAGTGGTGAGAGAGTGCAAAAGGAGAGCAGATGATAGAGTGGGAGAGGCACTGTCAAGAAATTTTAATGAAAATAAGAAAAAAATTTGGAGTGAGTTAAACAAGTTAAGAAAGCCTAGAGAACGAATGGATTTGTCAGTTAAAACAGAGTAGGGGAGTAGTAGATGGGGAGATGGAGGTTTTGGGTAGATGGCGAGAATATTTTGAGGAACTTTTAAATGTCGACGAAGAAAGGGAAGCGGTAATTTCATGCACTGGCCAGGGAGGTATACCATCATTTAGGAGTAAAGAAGAGCAGAATGTGAGTTTGGGGGAGGTGTGTGAGGCATTACATAGAATAAAAGGGAGTAAAGCAGCTAGAACTGATGGGATCATGACAGAAATGTTAAAAGCAGGGGGGGATATAGTGTTGGAGTGGTTGGTATTTTTGTTTAATAAATGTATGAAAGAGGGAAAGGTACCTAGGGATTGGCGGAGAGCATGTATAGCCCCTTTATATAAAGGGAAAGGGGACGAAAGGGATTGTAAAAACTATAGAGGAATAAGTTTACTGAGTATACCAGGAAAAGTGTACGGTAGGGTTATAACTGAAAGAATTAGAGGTAAGACAGAATGTAGGATTGCGGATGAGCAAGGAGGTTTCAGAGTGGGTAGGGGATGTGTAGATCAAGTGTTTACATTGAAGCATATGTGTGAACAGTATTTAGATAAAGGTAGGGAAGTTTTTATTGCATTTATGGATTTAGAAAAGGCATATGATAGAGTGGATAGAGGAGCAATGTGGCAGATGTTGCAAGTATATGGAATAGATGGTAAGTTATTAAATGCTGTAAAGAGTTTTTATGAGGATAGTGAGGCTCAGGTTAGGGTGTGTAGAAGAGAGGGAGACTACTTCCCCGGTAAAAGTAGGTCTTAGACAGGGATGTGTAATGTCACCATGGTTGTTTAATATATTTATAGATGGGGTTGTAAAAGAAGTAAATGCTAGGGTGTTCGGAAGAGGGGTGGGATTAAATTATGGGGAATCAAATACAAAATGGGAACTGACACAGTTGTTTTTTGCTGATGATACTGTGCTTATGGGAGATTCTAAAGAAAAATAGCAAAGATTTGTGGATGAGTTTGGGAGTGTGTGTAAAGGTAGAAAGTTGAAAGTTAACATAGAAAAGAGTAAGGTGATGAGGGTATCAAATGATTTAGATAAAGAAAAATTGGATATCAAATTGGGAAGGAGGAGTATGGAAGAAGTGAATGTTTTCAGATACTTGGGAGTTGACGTGTCGGCGGATGGATTTATGAAGGATGAGGTTAATCACAGAATTGATGAGGGAAAAACTGTGAGTGGTGCGTTGAGGTATATGTGGAGACAAAAAACGTTATCTATGGAATGTTTGAAAGTACAGTAGTACCAACACTCTTATATGGGTGTGAAGCTTG